CCCCAAAACCCCAAAACCCCTTTAGAGGTAGTAAGTAAAAACCAAGGGAAGAATAAATTTAATTAATTAATTTGATTGAATTCTCATTAATTCGAGATGCAAATGTAAATGATGTCAGATTAGCCAAAAAGAAGTAGAGGCAGACCACCAAAGAATGCTCCTTAGGATATGTAAGATTTTAGTATTTTCAACTAATGACTGTAGTGGGAACTAATAGAGTAGTTCAAGAGATTTCTTATGCTAATTATGCGGCAAAAGCTATTTGTCAAGTCCAGCTTTGTATCTTCACATGAAGGTAAAGCATGTTCAAGGTGAAAATAAGTAAGTTAGCAATGAATATAAAAGAGGAAGAGGAAGGCCTAAGAGAAATGTAATTATTTTTCTATATAACCATACAGGGATAAAATGAGACAGGAAGTGGATAAATGATTGGTAGAATCGATCCAACAGGAGATGTTTTTATGAGAACAGAGGAAAAAGCAGGAGGACCGTCAGATCCTATTTATGGATTTGAAGAGAGTGTAAATACCTTATTTGGAATGAAAAATAAATATGTGGACTATACTCAGCTACACCCATTGGAATTGAAGATGGCAATATTAAGAGGACATTTAGAGAAGTTTCAAAAGAAATTTAGAATACCCCTGATATTCAAAAGATGCATTTGTGCTGTGAGTAAATTTTTGCTATTTATCTAAGAGAATTTTCCCAAATCCTAAAGCCAGATTACTACTAAGTCTTGATGAAATTCGTTTTGATGTTCCGAGACTGTCTTAATATTTATGGGTGGTAAAAAAAAGCAGAGAATGAAGAAAAGGATCACATTGGCTTTCCTGACTTTGAAAAGAAAGTGGCTGAAAGAATGCTAACTTACGATGCTCAAAGATCATAAAATGAGTTCACTGCAATAAATAATGCCGAGTTCGCTCCTGAAATAGCTAATGAATTTGTTACAATTTATTTGGATGATGAATCTAATAATTAGGGTAGACTTGATAGAACTGAAATCATTGATTTAACTCAGCATCTCTGTCACTGGCTATTTACCCAGAAATTAACTTGCTCCAAACTTTCAATGTGCTGAAATATATATTATATTAACTTAAAATTTAAAAGTTTAAGAATGTACTAATATTAATCATTAATTAGCTTTGCAGCAATATATCAGATTAAATCAAGAGATAAAGTGTTTATATAATTATAGAAATTGATTTGCATTCTTAAAATGGATTAATTTTATGGAGACTCAAATAAGGGAGATAGCATCAATGATGTACTTTATTCTCAAAGTGATGCGTAATCTCATGGGGATTTCAATGCAATGAATTCTCAAAGTAAAGGTGTGAGACCTACAAGTGCATATGCTAACTCAAGTTAATTGTACAGATAAAAAGCTTATTATATTTTTTCATAGGCAAAAAATGCAGGAAATGAAAAGATAACAATAAATGCAGTACCTAAACAAAAAGAAAAAGCTTTATGGTGATGGACAAAGATAAGGTGGTCCAGAGGACGACAGATTTAGCTTAGATAAAATGAATCTAGATGGAAAAGATAGTGGAGCTGAGACTTATAATATGTTTTTCAAGCCAGATGTAAGCTATATGCTGTTGTTAACTGTTTGAATAGTAAAAACTAGATTTGGAATTGCAAGCATAAAAAAATATAATGTCAAAAGACAACACTTATGGTAATAAATTCTGGACTCCTGAATATCAGCAGCAGATGGAATAAATAATGCAATAGCAATAAATGCAGCAAGATAATGAATTAGATGGTATTGAAGAGGTCTAAGACAATATAAGATATTACAATCCTAATGCAATGGGATTCACCCAAGCATAATAGTAGGACACGTTATCTCAATAGCATACTGTTAGATCATAGATGACAGTCCAAAATTAAGCAGTCAATAATACCTATGATTAGGGGATAAAATATAACAAAAATAATGTGATGTAAGAAGATTTGGAGACTAAGAAATTTTTACCCTCTGAAAGATCAATAGATACTTAGAATGCTATGAAATAAGTCGAGGCAATAGATGGAAGAAGCAGATCTAAAAAGAAAAGAGGTGAAACTGAAGTTCTAGATGGCGGAGAAGATGACTTGATATCTGAATAGTCTGTCTAGGGCACTTAAAATATGCCATTGTTGTAATTTGAAGCAAATTTAGTTGAAGATTAGTCTTCAAATGCAGCTAAAAAGAAAAAGAAGAAAAAGAAGAAGGTTAACAAAAAAGATGAAGAAAATGAAAATGAGAACACTCAGCTTATTGATAACAATGAGGATGAGCAGTAAGAAGCTTTACTAAGAAAACAAATGGAGGAATAAGAAGCTAGAAAATAGCAGGAAGCCAAAAAAATGTAATTAGAAAAAGAAAGAAAGGAATTGGAGGAGCAATAAAGGCAGCTAGAGGAAATGAAAAGATAATAGAAATAAATGTAAGAAGAGTAAGAGAAATTAGAAAATCTGAGGAGATAATAATAGTAATAGGAGGAAGATTAAAGGGAAAGAGAGAAAAAAGAGAAGTTAAGGAAGTAGGTAGAGGAGATGAAGAGGTAGTAATAGCAAAAAGAAGAGGAAGCAAAGTAATTTAAAGAACAATAAGAAAAAGAAAAGTAAGAGATGCTATTAAAAAAGCAATAAGAGGAGTAAAAATCCTAATAGTTAAAAAATTAACAATAGTAACAACAGTAATATCAATAAACGAATCTTTCAAATGCCCCACCCTACTATTAGCCAGGTATTATTCCTCAATAAGAGATAAAAGCTGATTAGAGAGAAGGCTACAATACATTTATTGCTAAAATCACTAATCCATACACCTAGTTAGAAGAACTTAGAAATTTATTTATGAATCCAGTACCTCCTAATATTGGCCAAATATAATGCACTATTGTTAGACATAAGTCTGGGTTTAATAGACTATGGCCTAAATATACTTTACATTTATCTGATGGTGATAAATTTCTGCTAAATGGAAAAAAGAGGTCGGGAAGTACTACATCTTATTATATGATATCTTTGGATGAGCAAAAGCTCAAAAAGGGAACCAAGGCGTATCTAGGAAAGCTTAGATCAAACTTCTTAGGCACAGAGTTTTATATTTATGATAGCGGAGAAAACCCAAAGAATGCTAAAAATTTCGATGAAGTCAGAGCCTAGTATGGTGTAGTCGAGTATGAGAAAAATGTTCTTGGTTCCAAAGGACCCAGAAGAATGAAGGTATTATTGCCTAAAGTCCAAAGAGATGCATCAGCTTTCGAGTGGAAAAGCTAAGATGTAAGTTCAGCCGTTTGTTTACTTTATTTAGAAAAATTGTACAATAGAAAATCTATACAAATCAGGTAGTGCTGATAACATTGTGTTCTTCTTTAATAAACCACCAAAATGGAATGAATGTAATCAAAGTTAAATTTATTATATTCTTTAGAGGTTCAAGCATTCGTGTTAAATTTTAATGGAAGAGTCGACAAAGCATCCGTGAAAAATTTCCAACTAATTGATGACTTCGATGATAACAAGATCTACATGCAATTTGGAAGAATAGGCAAACATAAGTTCAACATGGATGTGGCTTTTCCATTTTCAATCTTTTAGGCCTTCGGTATAGCTCTTAGTTCTTTTGATTTCAAATTTGCTTGCGAGTGACTATTAAACAACAAAGACCATGTAAGGCTAATCAAACTTACTAAAATTTGTCTTGCTAAATATATTATTCATATTGTTATTTATGATATCATTAATCGTTTGTTTTATTTTGAATTTAGGGGTTTTGGGGTTTTGGGGTTTTGGGG